AAACAAAAGGGGAATAGGCAAGATGCAAAAATTAAAATAGCCTAATATCACCAAACTATTAAAAGTATGTTGGGCATTATCCAAATCATCTTTTGTATATGCATTCATCCAAGTTCCAAAGTACTAAAGCAAGACATGCCAACTGCTTAAAAAATCATGGGTATGAATGCAAAAACATGGTATACTAAAAAAGAAAAAGCATCACTTTGTTTCCAACAGAGCTTTATGAAGAACTTCACAAAGGCTAGGTATAATGGCCTATGCCTGTAATTCCAGCACTCAGGAGGCTGAGACAAGAGGATCTTGAGTTCAAGGCCACTCTGAACTACTGTGTTTTACCTCAGAAAGGAGGTTAAGAATTAATGGCATCATCAACAGAATGTTAGCTCAATAATACCAAACTAAAAATACTTTTTTCAGTTTTTAAAAATTTAAATCATGAAGAACTACTGAATTTGAGGTCAGAAGAAAAAGTACCAAGCGTGTGTGTGTGTGTGTGTGTATATATATATATATATATATATGTACATATACATATATGACACAAGTGTTGCCAATTCTTCCTATATAAAATACTTAATTAAAATTTTGTGATATTTGTAATATACAAATAAATGACTCACAATAACCAGGTAACTTTTTTATTCCTACATGGGTAGCAGAGGGGAAGAATTCAGCTCTGTGAAAAGGAGACACATTGAATTGTATTGTTGGCTGTAACCTGACTATGTAAATTTAGCCAATTCATCTAACCTCTTGTGCCTCAGGGTCTCCATCAATATTACAATATTAAACTATTTACAACATACATTCCAGTTCTATGAATTTGTGATTGTGGATAAGGCATATTTTAGGTCACATTACAGTACTATCACAAATGTAAAGCTTAATAACATGAATAACTAGGATGTGAGATTAGAAGCTCTGCTTTGCTTACTGCCACTTTGCTTATGTCTCTCTTATCTTTCAAAAATGAAATACAAGATATTCTTTTAAATCATAAGGTAGATTTGATGTCTTACTCCCTTTGTTTATTGTAAATTCTCATCAACCACACAATTTGTTGACAGTATCCAAAAGTGGCCTATCAGAAGACACCACCCAAAGCATCTCCCACTGCTGATATTACTATAGGAACAAGAAATTATAGATTACCTGAATAGTAATGGTAGTTTAGCTTCACCTATATTTTATCTTTTACTAGATTCAAGAAACAAAACTAAAAAGACTAGGGAATGTCTCTCGTGTCTAATTTCTTAGGAAGTGTACTGACCTGCAGCTCACAAACAATTTTGACTGCTACAACAGCTAAATTGAAAGAGTATTAAGAACTCCAGGGTCAGATATCATGGCGAACACCTGTAATCCTAGAACTGGAAAACCAAAGCAAAACAATCTAGAGCTCAATGCCAGCCTAGGTTACACAGGAGACCCTGCCTCAAAACAAACAAGCAAAAATACTAACTCCAGAAAAGTAAATCAAAAGACAGAAGACCATGCCATGTTACCAATCTTTCGTTTTTACTTCAAATTTTATTTATTTTTTTTTTTGGTACCAGGGATAGAACTCAGGACTTTGCACTTGTGAGGTAGGCAGCGGAATCACTGAACTAAATACGCCAGCCCTCTAGTTTTTTTTTAAAAAAATGTATCACCAGGCACAGTGGCAGGAGGATTGCATTCAAGTCCAGCCTGAGAGTAACTTACTTAAATAAATAAATAAATAAATAAATAAATGGGGGGGGCTGATGATGTACCTCCTGTGAAGGCCCTGGCTTAAATTCCCAGTACCACCCCATCCCAAAGGAAACCATTTTGACATTTCATCTCAAGTATTTTACAGTGAGTTTAATCTTCAATTACCCACTTCCTGTTCTCTTATTACAGAGCCATGTCCCTAAATAAGAATTCGGTCTTATCCATACACTGAATTTTGACTTGGTTCTCTCATTATTCCCAAGAAGTTAAAATTCAAAAGCATAAAAGGCTCATGTGTTTATTTTAAAAAGTTATTAATGTAGCCAGGCATGGTGGCACATGCCTGTAATCACAGCACTCTGGGAGGCCAAGGGATGAGGATCACAAGTCTGAACCCAGCCTGGGCAACTTAACAAGACCCTGTTTCAAAAAATAAAAGGGCTAGAAATGTTTTATCTCCCATTAATGTAAATTCACTAATTACTGGCAATGTTGGTGTTCATTAGTAACTAAAATACTATTTTAAAGAACATATGATTTCCTACGAAAAAATCAATTTTTCAAAGTTATGGCAATTTTAAAAATTAAAATCATGATCAAAAAAGGAAAATATCAACATCAATCACTGTTATATTTGGTGAAAGCCATTTTTGTATTTAAACCCAAACATGCTGACAAATGTCTACGATGAATCAATGTACAAATAATAAAGAGTGCCCATATATCCCTGGTTTGTGAAGTATATATAATATTGCCCCGTTTTACTCTCAAAAATATCTCAATTTGGGTGATTTAAATTGTCCTTTCTTCCTATGGTCAAGCAGAGATCAGGAGGAGGGGAATTTTTTATTCCAGAAAAATTTTAAATAGTAACCATAAATCTTTCCCCACTCCTAGAAAGTATGTTCATCACCAAGCAAACACCATCAGACTGGCAAATGGAACAACACAACCTGTAGCTGTGAAGTTACTACAAGAGATCCATAAAAATATATTTATACCATGCACTTTCTACTGATATTTATCACACATATTTAGGTACTATTATGACTAATGAGATTAAAATCTTGCGTTGAAGCATTATGATAAAATCTTAAGAGCAAAAAAAAAAAACACCAAAACAAAACAAAGCCAACTGTATTTTAGGAGGAAAACTGTAAATTCCTAATCTGGGAGGCAGAGGGAAGAGAACTGTAAGTTTGAGCATAGCCTGGGAAACTTAGGGACCTAGCCCAGACCCTGTCTCAAAATAAATAACAAACTAGGGATGTAGTACTGCAAGAAAAATATATCCAAAGAATCCAGATATTTTAAAATACAGTGGTACTTCAGTTCACAAATACTTTTGTTTGCAAACAATTTGGTTCACAAACAGAAGCATCTGACAAAATTCTGCTTTGCAAACTCTGCATCTGGTGACAAGACAGCAGCTATCTTTCCCACACAAACACAAACATGGCCATTTTTTCCGAAATTGTAGAACAAATTAAGTTCATGGACCGAGGTACCACTACCACTGTATACCTCAACTGATGAAAGCAAAAATGAACTATTTGATTATCCTGAAACACTTCCATATTCAAGGTTGAGAAAATATGAAAAAAATGGGTACAGAATTTTACTGCTAACTTACACTGGTTATCAAAACTTCAAAAATATTGTGTAATCTGCATGCTTTTTTAAATCAATGGGCCATAAAGTTTTGGAAATCTTCTATTATAGAAAAATGTTAAAGAACTAAATTTACAGAAGAAAAACTTGTCCCCATATTAGGACTGGCCCAAAATCCTTGCACCTTATTGGTCGATTTTGACAAGACTTTTACTTTCTAACTTGTTAACCATTCTATGGTAAATCAAAGGAAGGAAGATGGTCAATGATCTATTTCCCAGTCCACCAGGACTATGAAAAAAGTAATTCACATGTAATTCTATAAATGCCTCATTTGATCTGTATTAAGGCCTCACATGTTCACTAATTTAAAAGATATACACCAACTGAATATTTCTAGATATTTCATTATCGTTATTTCTTAAAATTGTTTCTGATTTTAAATTAGGTTCATCAAATTACATCAAGAGCACTAATAGTTGAAACAGAACAGAAAGAGACAAAACAAAGTGGGGGTAATTGCTAGATAAGTCTACTTCATAAAGCAGATTACTTTTGAGACTCAATGGAAGTTTTTGATGCAACATAACCTATAAATTTATTAATTTTCATTTTCATTTCACTTTCAAAGTAACTGGAAATAAAGCAGTCTAGAGGCATTAAAGTTTAATGACATCAATGTTAGACAGCCTGGAGATAAAAATGAGGGTTCCATCATCAACTAGATTTTTAACTGAGGACAAATTACTTAACCTCTTCTCTTGAGTTTCAGCTTTCTCTGTAAAATAATCAACATCCTCAAGAGGTATTGTAGTGAGGATTATAAAATAATTCATGTAAATCACAAGGCCTAGTCCATAAACCTTCAACAGAAATTATTAATTTTGTCTATGCCAATTTGCCTGAGATAATTCAACTTTGCACCTGTCCAGGAATAATTAATAATGTTCCTTTTACATTAAAAATTGCTCGTTAGGGCAATACATTTATATGGTTATCTTTAAAAATGGCATCAATTAATACCATTAAAAAATACAGGGCCGGAGATTAGCTCAGTGGTTCCACCGCCTGCCTTGCAAGCGCAAGGACCCAAGTTCGATCCCCGGTGCCCGCCCCGCAAAGAGAATGGATAGAGTATTATACATCAATTTTGATTTTTAGAATCCTGAAGGGAAAAAAAATCAAGTATCACACACTATATATATGTATATAAAAGATCAAACTCTTGTAAGATATTCTATAGCTATTTCAATTATTCTTCAAATGAAGGCTTTTAAATTTATTTCTACCTATGCTATTTCAATGATTTATGGCAGCAAATATTTTTGTTCTGTTTTATAGGGTTTTGGTAAAGTTCAGATACTATTTTTTTTTTTGGTACCAGGGTTTGAAATCAGGACCTTGCGCTTATAAGGCAGTCAGTGGAACCACTGAGCTAAATCCCCAGCTAGATACTATTTTAAAAGAGTAACATTCACAGATAAAGCACTGGTTGAGTTCCAGGTACCGAAAACCATTACCTTTTGAATTCCCAGTGAAAAGTACCCATTCTCATCATGAAGAACACCCAACACCAACTAACATTTATCAATGAGCCCACCCAACCCGAGTATGTAAAACATAACAATAAATATTTTAAAACATGCATTCTACACATAAGTCATGAGAAGACCCCACAAAAAATAAATTACCTGGCTGTTATGACATAGTACTGAAATACAATAAACTGGATTTTAGTTTTCTTCACTCTGCTCTAGAAAAAAAAAGAATCCATTATTCTTTTATAAGATACACATTTTCTTTGAAATACAATATATCCTTAAAAAACACACATCCTATAGTTACACACAAACCCCATAACCTAATCTAAATAACAGTATTCAGCTATTTGGGGGAGACCAAAAGATCAGAGGGAACCAGAAGTTATATAAAAGATTTCCTTAAAGGCTGAGAGGTGATCTACCTTTTTTATGTAACCTTACTTAGGCCGTTTCCTTATCAGACCAGTAATTATTTTTATTTTCAGATTCTGACAGTCACTTTCAAGGACTTATTTGGCACATTACACTAGTCTAAAGCAGGAACTAAAGTATTAAAAATCATCAAAATCATCAATGTAAACGTTTGTGACATTCTGAGTAATTTATCCTAAAATCGTGTTTTCTAAAAAGGCTTGGTACTTAATCCGTATTTTCTTAGTTTAGAAAACTGATTTGAGTAAGGGTCAGGCCTGTAATTGTGCCTGCCAGCTCTTAAGTACTACAGGACTGACATACCGTAACTGATGGGGTGATTTAAGCAGTTACTTTGTCTGTAATCATGGAGAGCCAAAGAAATGATTACACTTATTCTTTTCCTCTCTTCAATCATCCAGAAGCACTGCAGTTAATTTTTATTCAGGAAACGCAGGCTCCTTATTTCCAGAAAAAAATAACTGTGGGGCCTTACAAATGGTGGAAGACAATCTGATAGAAATGTTTCCTTTGGCTCCTATACCAAAAAATGACTTAAATAACAAGTCTGCTAGGCCTCAGATTCCTGGACTAACCTGTGGAATAAGTATGGTGAAACTGTCTAGGGAAGGAACGTGGCTGTCTCCTCCATCTTGAAATTAATCAGCATAAGGAAAAAGGGGACTGAGTGTTCAGGAAGCAGAAGCCCAACCGGTTAATACTAGTTACTAAGCTATGGCGTACGTGGCAGGTACTGCACACAGAAGCCAAGACCCTTAGGCTTGCCCCCCCCCTTTCTTTTTTGGCGGAGGGAATGGAAATTAACTTGAAAATAATTTGGCCTAATTCCCACCCTTACCCAGGGAAAAACAACTAACTCGCAAAGGCCTTTCGCTCTCTTTTAGGGGGATTCTTCTAGTAATACCTGGCAGAGAATAAGCCAGAATTATATGAACGAAGGGGTAAATCACATTTACCTCAGCTCCTCAGGGAAGATGTCATCGCGGCCCCAGGGTCGCTTAATTGGTTTTGCCCTGTTCAAGGGCCCAAAGTGGGACTTTGAAAATCCTGGGAAAAATATTAAGGCCTACGGATTTCTAACATCTGACTTAGCGCAGTTTCGTTTTTCCCAAAGCCAAGCTTGCCACGTAAAACGCGGGACGGAGAGGGAAGCCTCTCAAAAGCAGGAGAGTAAAACCTGAGGCACTCTCACACTCTCACGCCTGAGGCCAAAACTCGAAAGCACCTCCACGAAATTCTTAAGGCTCCGCCGGGCTCAGGCTTCAGCTCGCCCAGCCTCCGGGGGGAACTACTACTACCCTTCCTTCCCCTTCTAAAAGAGCCGGTCGAAGGTACCACCGAACTAAAATGGCAGCAGCGACTATGCTACGGAGTCCCCCTGCAGCAACGGGCCTCGGGCCCGGAGGCGGCGCTGAGCCTCTGCCACCACGCGTTACTCAGGCCATTTTGAGGGAAAACGGCAGCCGCGGCTCCGCGGTCTTCCTGTTGCCCTACCATCCATTTCAGAGAATTCCCATGCCTTCACTTACTGAGTTTTAAGGTCAGGCTCTGACTCGGTTAGTTCAGCCGTTTCCGCTGAGCCTCCTCCGCGCCTCCGAGGCCACCGCTTTCAAGCTTCCTCGGGTGAGTGGCTGGCTGAGACCCGCC